CATCGCTAGAACAATAGAAAATAAGGACTGTAAATTTAGACTTCATCGTGAAATATATAATTGTGATATAATATTTTACTTTCCTCTTTTATTGATGCCCTATCTACGAACCTAATTATAATTCAATATCTACTATTATTATATATATGTTGGGTTTGCTCTACTGCCCAATATTATGGCATTATAATAACTATTAAAATCCGTACCATAAATGTGAATGTAGAGATGTTTGTTACGCTTTCATACAAAAACTACTGAACCGATCGTCATGAAATTTTGTACACATGTTCTTAGAGGTATTAGAAAGACTTTTTATTTAAAAAAAAACATATATTTTTATAAGACACATAAAGATAAAATATCAACATTTTGTTACTTCAGCAACCAGTAATGAACTTGCTGCGAAGCCGCAGGTAAAAGCTGGTGTTATAATATAACGCTTATTCTAAAGAACTAGAAGAACATAAACTCAAGAAAAAGTACGAGACTCAAGACAAGATAAGATAAAAAGTACTTGAGAATTATTTTATGTTTAAACTTTATTTAATCTATGTCACATGACTTATTTTTCAGGAGATAGATAATGTAATAATGATTATGTGGATGGATGTAAAGGGAGGGGACGCCCTAAGAAAAGATGGATGGATTGTGTGAAAGATTATATGAATAAAAGGAGAGTATGCTCAGATATGACGGCCGATAGAGAGCAGTGGAAGAGAATGACGTACTGCGCCGACCACAAATAATGGGATAAAGGCAAGGCAATGATGAGATACAATTCTCCTTCTACGCTTTACTGTGTTATTAACTTTTTAAAACTTTATAAAAACCATTATATGTACGTGAGGCAAACAAACGTACGGCTCCGCAAATAGCAGGCCATGTTAATAAACATGATTTTTATACTGGAAACAGTAGATAAGCCGTTTGAATGGCGACCGAACAAATAAAACCGGATGAAGTGTCGATTTTATGTAGAAGGGTGGTACGGAACGATATTTTCCTGATTTTTATCAGAGTCCCAGTGAATGCTAACGTGTGTTTACCGAAACGCTGAGCAGGCAACTTTATTTCTTTATTGCGCAAAAATGCTAAAATTCACGAGTTGTACTCGGTGACCATCATTTACATTGCAAATTATGGATAAGCTTAAAAAAAATATAGTTATTTTATCGTCTGGAGTAGATGTTAGAAGTATCATCAACTGTGGACGAAGTGGTAAACGCTACCTTGTAACTTCCACACTGCTCGTTATATTTGAAACCAACGTGGCAAATTAATTTTGCTTCCGGGGACGCCTCTTCCGCAAAATTAAAACAAGAAAAACCTTAACTACTTTATATGTAGAGCCAACAAATGATTTGAAAGCAATTATAGTACCTGTAATAGTATCTACTATATATTTGGATGACGGAATTGTCAGTTATAGTACGTAGTATTATGTAGTATCTATGGTAATAGGACCTTTATACGAGTAGGGACCCATTGCTAGCTATATTCATGGAAACCTATCAGGTTCCATCTAGAAACAATCGTGATTAATTCCTGGTAGTTAATAACTGTCCTGACTTTACGATTTCGTATTCGTCAGGCGGGAGTTGGCCTTAAGCCGCTTCATAAGTCCTTTCGCGTGTTTGGAGTGCCATCTGCACTCGCCCTCTATCGTCCGGTGAAGCTGTAAACACCAGCTGCGGCCAACAGCATTAGAGCAGTCAGAAAAAAATAACTTTTAACGCAGACGACAATTCCATATTCAATAATTAGTAGTGGTTATTGAAAAAAAAATAGAAAAGTGATATATAATATATACTTAATAGCATTTCTTTATTAATAAGTAATGATAGTGCTATATTATAGGGCTTGTAGTTTATTATGTTTAAATTGACAAAGTAGTTAAAAAAATTGTGTATTTATACGTCAACAAACTGTCAAGCACTTTGGGAGTAACTGTATATCGATACATATATAAATCCTCTGTAACTATTGTTAATTCATCATCTGCATCTTCTTTATCCCATGCATTTGGGATCGGCGTAATGTTTTCCATTCATCCCTGTTCGAAGTCATCTCGTTATTTACTCCCTTTCTTACCATATCCTTATCCACACAGTGCATCCATTTTCTTTTCGGCCTTCCTCAGCCCTTGTAATCATCCACATTCATATGTGTTAGGAACTGTCAAGTACAAGTATTATCTGTGCTAGATTTGTAGCATTATGTTTGTGTGGTCTGTACCTCCCCCTTTGCTTTGGTCTATGGTCTGTGACATTACAAATCTATGTATGTTCTGCATTGTATTTTTGTTTGGGAAACTACTCTGCTACCAAAATGTTAGGGAAGCGTCAGTCATTTACCTTTATGGTCTGCGGATTTCTTGGGCTTCAGGGTCTCGAAGGTATCTTCGCTAGCTCTCACACACTTTCACAGTAGGTTTAACACAGTTCTAATTTATTTCAATTCACAACAAACGCGCGCGCGCGTCAAGGCCGCTGTACAGTCCGTTCAGTACTAGGTGAGGGAGAGGAAGGCAAAGCGCGGGAACACAAACTAACGGACTCTAATATAATAATCTGTGCTTACGATGATACCGGGTAGATTTTGAACAATTTTCTATTAATTAAAACATACAAATATATAATAAAGCTCTCTATTATTATACATACAACTCATCATAACAATATGTAAAACCTTCCTAAATATTAAAAATGGATAACGGATAGAAAACACAGACAAAGGTCACCCTACACGACCACCCTTTTAATATTCGCGCGGCGAATTTGAAATTAATTCCAGCCGTTTAAATATTATCTGTGAACTCGGCGGGCCGTCGGCGGTCGCTCTAATTATTGTTTGAGTTTCGCCTCCTGTTAACTAAGCTTGTGTTTGTTCGCCATATTATTATGCTTTCTACCGACTGCAAAAAGGTGATGATGCACCATTTTAGTATTTCTATTTAAAGTCGCCATTTATGCTACTAGCTAATCGGGCCCGGCTTCGCACGGGTGTACATGTAATATATATATATAAACCTTTTTGAATCACTCTATCTATTAAAAAAAATCCCTTCAAAATCCGTTGCGTAGTTTCAAAGATTTAAGCATGCATAGGGACAGACAGCGACAGCGACTTTGTTTTATAATGTAATGATTACGTAAATTAGTTTGAGGCGAAAGTTTGTTTCACTTTGAGTGTTCTACCGAATATATAACGGACTGCGTTCTGAGGAATTGTTCGACATGATACCTACGGCTACCTTTTACCATCAATAGGGAATCGATCCCCACACGCTAGAACCTAAATGGTCTCGGACAGTGCGGTTTCCGAAGAGCTTCTTCCTGAACTACCTGCTGAGGTTTTCTCACGAGACTACAGCATGGGGTTTTTCAAGAAGGGTATATTAAGGTTTCTTAATGGTCGGCAACACGCACGTGACACCCCTGGTGTCCTGGTTACCATTTACCATCAGATGGGCCGTATACTTGTTTGACACCATTGTGTAAAAAATTAATTTAATTTGACAACTTGTTAATTTTCATATATACAAAAAGCTTAATCAAATTAATAATTAACTTATTCATGTACATTTTAGACATTTTTTTTTATATTTTTCTTTTGTTTAATCAAATTCAATATATAATTCAATTCTTGCAAGGACATTTTAGCTGAAATCTTTTTTTTGTTTTTATTAACATTGTTTATTATATGTATCTGTCTAAAAAAAATTGTAAATTTAATAATAAAAATTGCCGGAATTGTTAATTTTAAATAAAACACAATTCAAATACAAATCATCACATATTTATCATCAAATAAGTGAACACATTTTTTATCACAGTATATTTATCTAAAATCAAAATTATAATAAAAAAAATCCAGATTCGAGATTTTAACAATAAATGCATTACATAGTCCAATTAGTTCTTTTATAATGAATATAATGACGTATATCACACAATTGATATTGTCAACCATCTAGCACTCCAACTTTTAAATAATAAAGCTATTGACATATTTCATTTATGTAATACTAGTTGTTACAGGCGACTACGTCCGCGTGGATGTAAAACAAATAAATTTTCCAAAATAAAAGTAGCCTAGTTACATTAGCTATCTGCGAGTAAAATTCCCATCAAAATCGGCGGTTTAGCTGTTTTAGAGATTAGCAAGACAAAAAATACATTTTTTAAATACATACATTTTTTATGCAATACCGTACAAAAATATCAAGTGCATTTAGTGAAAATCTATTAATTTGAAATTGCAAGCACATTTTATATATTTGTATTGATAATGAAAGAATTTCAGTACTAACATACCTTCACGACTATTATGGTAAACGAGGTACTAAGAGCCATTGGTAACTGTCGACATCTTGGTGAACACAAAACTTGCATGCCCACATTAAGCTGATCTCAAACCTACTATCTGACTATATTTTAATTGCCGGCACCGCTTTTTCGTGACGAAGGATTTCTATATAGAATTATCAACCCTCTTTAATCGATCCAATTCAAACGTGGATCGAAATTACGACGGCCTGAGCCGAGGTTCGAACCCCTAGTGGTGCCCTCAGACTAAAGCAGTATCCGTCAGGCGGGAGTTGGCCTTCAGCCGTTCCATAAGTACTTCCTTTAGTTTGGAGTGCAATCTGCACTCGCCTATCGTCCGGTTAAGCTGTAAAGACCGGCTGCGTTAGAGTAGTCCAAAAAAAAAAGTTTCACATCAAACATCTCTAGATTTACTATGTTAATTTTATTTTATGGATATATACTGTTATGCCTTTGCAATAACATATGCTGGCGGTTACTCTATTCTCCCAAATTTGAATTTAAAATGAATCTGTATTATTGTAAACATGTACAACATTTATTTGAAAAGAATACGAGCTGAGTTTCTTGTCAGTTCTTTTCATCTCGAAATCATTCCGAATTGACATATCATAAGAGTCTGTAATAGACCTACATGAATAAAGACATTTTTAATTTTGAAAACACATTATTACATAATTAATTTTAGTACTCTCTCAGTATTCTGCACTGCGCGTTACACTTGGGAGTGCCTTGTGGTCTATTTTTAATGGACAATGACTCCAGGTCCAAGGTTCTGAGGTGGTCATGCTGTTCAGCTCCCGTCTTGAGGACGGGAAGGTCTTCTTGTTGTAGCACTCCAGCCTGCAGGTATCCCACCAGGTGAGGAGCGTGTTCCTGCAGGATCTGCTTACGCTCCGTAGCAACTTCTGAACGCCTACAAAATTAGTGAAATGTGAAATTATAATAGTAGATTTTTTAATCTTATTAATATTATGAACGCGAAAGTTCGTGAGTATGGATGGATGTTTGTTACTCTTTCACGCAAATACTACTAAACGGATTTTGAAGAAACTTTACAGTACTATAGCTTATACATTAGAATAAAATATAGGCTACGATTTAAAAGGATATTATGCAAATTGGGAAATATAATGATAAATGTTGCAGGAGAAACTGCGCGGAACAGCTAGTAAATAACATAATAGAAGATTCTTTATTTTTTCTTTCAAATACAGGAACTTTCGTACAAACTAAAATTACATGCGAGTCCCATTGTACTCTAAAACTGTTAGCCGCAACTTCGTTTACATTTCGACGGTTTCGGTAGTCTAGCAGATTAGCACACCGCTTTACTTATATTCGCGGGTTCAATTCCTCGCACGGCACAACCAATTGTATGAGTACGATAGTTTGTATCGGTTCATTCGAAGACACTGTGCTCAACTTGTATAGTTCGAGTTAAAATAAACGGCATTTGACATGTTTATGAGGGCCTTGGTGGTGTAGCGGTTTAGCACACCGCTTTAATTATGATGTTTTCGATTCCTCGCACAAACATTTCTAATTATAAGTATGATTATTTGTATCGGTCTGGGTGTTTTCATGTATATTAATATATATATATTTTTCATGTATAAATATTACATGTACAAATGTATATTCTTGCCATATTTACAATGGTTGTATGGTTTAACTATAATAATAAATTGAATATTAAATGTATGAGAACAGAAGCGATTAGGTACCAAACTGACAGGCTTATTTTCTGTCTCCCAACGTCGGTTGGCAACGGTAGTGCCACGCGCTATCCATAGATTCGCCACACTAATATAAGTATTTATATCAGTCGTATAGTACGCACAACACAAGCTCTACTTAGCACACCAGAAATCTCATAGAAATACTTAAATACGTTTTTAATATAAATATGTACATAGCAAAATAAATAGAACCAGAAAAAAATCTTTATATAAGCACTTTTGAATAATCATATTTTCTTGATTTGATCATATTTTTCATTCTACTACTCATCTGGAATGCAGGCTAGAAGAATGAGCAAGAAATTTGCATACTGCCTTTTGAAATAAATATACAATACAAACAATCATATTCATAAATACAAATATTTGCATAGTGCAAGGAAATCGAATCCATAACCAATGGCTGCAAGACACTGTAATAAGTAAGTAATAATAATAATATCTTAGTACAATTTACACAGCGCCATCTAGTCCCAAGCTAAGCAGAGCTTGTGTTATGAGTACTAGATAACTGATATACATACATGGATACATTTTTTTGTAAATACATACATATTATACATAGAAAACACCCAGACAGATACAAACAATCATACTCATCAATACAAATGTTTGTGCCGTGCGAGGAATCGAACCCACGACCATCGGAATGTAAAGCGGTGTGCTAAACCACTAGACCACCGAGGCTGTGCTCACTGTGCTCAACCTCTGTACATCTAGTTATAAAGTATAATATTAAACGGCATTTAACCTGTCTTATACAAATAAGATAGTGATTCTAACCATGCTTTGTCCGTATTCCAAACGTTAAGAGCTTGTTGTTCTTCGCGGCGTCGCTCGAGTTCCCTCCGCCGAGTATTGTCTGCGATCTGATCTCGCAGCTGCTTCGCGTACTGTCGCCTCTTCTCCTTCAAATGCCTCTCCTTCTCCCGCTCTTTCTCTTCTTCTGCTGCCATCTTTGCTTCTGCCTGTAAGCGAAAGGTTTTTAATGGATGATAATGATATGGTGCACCCGCTTGCGCTAACGGTTTACGCTGGCGGGGCACCAGTGGAGGATGATAAGATGAACAAGGTCAGGTCAGGGGGCGTATTATGAACTCTTATTCCCATTCAGTTTACGGCTTAAACTGAACTGCCTGGCGATTTCGTATTACGAACGCTATTAGCCAGCCAGTCAGCGGTCACGTGACAGCTGAACGTCTTCTGCCCGAAAACTGACCGGCTATTTCGTATTATGAGCGTTTCATTTGACAGATCTACGCGGACGCAACTGTCAAAAAGACCGTTTAAAAACAATTCAGTTTACGGTGGCTTCATATTAGCTTTTATAGAATTGTTTTCTAATTTATAGCTTCATTATTGTAATTTGGTTATTATTTCTATTTCTATGTCAGTTTTTATTATGTTTATAACATGTTTGTGCAGTTATTTCGATTGTTTTTGTTTCGTTTTAATTTTAATTATGTGTGATGAACTCGAAGTATTGGAGTTTTTGGAAATGTGTGCACCCTACGAAAAAGAAGTAAGGAAAGTGAAAAGACGGCGATTACGCGACCAATCCAATCCTATTGATATAGACAATGAACAATTTAGAAAACGTTATAATCTAAATAAAGATTTGGTGCGTAATATGCGTGCGAACTCATATGCCGATATCATCGAAATTTACAGACCTACCAGTGGAAACTAAGGTATAATGTATTGTAATTATTTCACTAAATCACTAGCTGACTATGTCAGGTTTTAGTAGGATTATTATTTATGCTACAGGCATATTTATCAACGGCCTATTAGTGATATTGCTGTTCATTCTTTAGCACAGCCAATGGCAAATAACCGATTTATTGCATTTACCCAACATCCAAAAGTAAATACATATATAAAATTCCAAGGACATCTGAGTAAAGGATAGATAATAAATATTCAAAGGTATCTATTTCTATACAATTAGCAACTGTTATTGTTGCAAATACATCTATGAGTACCATGTACCATACCATATGATATAGTGATAATATATATAGTAAAATGTATGCATACAAGTAAAGCCTAGAAAGCAAGTATACAACAATCTGATGATGTGCAGTCTCTCCGGCACTTTCCTCCGAGGACAATTAATTAAATTAAATTAATTATATTTTAGGTTTTATAATTGGAATTTGGAATGCTGGGTGTATTGGGCTGTATTTGACTGTACACATGCCACCCCATTGTAAATTAAGAAGAGATATTACTGTAGAAAACAATACCATTCATTAAATATATAATTGGTAAGTGAAATATAAATTAAAAGACATGTTTAATAATATAAGCATTTTTAATATCTTTTTTTAATATAATTATATAAATTAACAATAAACAAGATTTTAGACATGCAAAATATGTTAATGAATATACATCTCTAAAGCTACTTATATACTAACAATAAATTGTTTACTTAAATATTAAATGACCATAACACTTGGACATATGTTTCAAAGAATCTGTATCCATGCAATTAATCTCATATGTTTCAAATAATATTTATCCATTAATTATTCTCTTATGTTTCAAATAATCTTCATCTATGTAATTAATCTGGAAAAAAAATTTAGGTTAGTAATGCTGACATGGAGATTATAAGTGTGGATGCCAACTGGAACTGGAGCTACTCATGACATTTGGGCAAAACAGAGGCATTAAGCAACATCTAGAGGACTTAAGCTGGAATAAATCCTTATGATTACTTGGTAAGCACAAAATTTTATTATGAAACTACAAACATCATTACATCTAAGATCTAAACTTCAGTAATTTAGAAACATAGTTATTTATCAGCACCAACAATTATTGTGCTGTGTTTTTAATGAAATAATACTTTTTGTAAATAAATATTAATATTATAGTATATAATATGTTGTTTTTTTTTAGGAGATCCAGGATATGCTTTAGAGAAGTATACTCCCATCTCAAATGCTATACCAGGACCACAAGAAGCATATTACACTGTAAGAACATGGAATATCATTGAGAGCACAATTGGGCTTCTAGATTTAGAAGCCTACATGTACTTTGAGCTCTTATAGAGAACTAAATGAAGGTCTAGCTGCTAGACAAACCCATGTTGTTTAGTTGTGGAACTAAGAAATTGAAACATTTATAAATAATAATATTGTTAATAGGTCAATGTTTTAATTATTTGTTTTTATAATAAATGATATAGGTACATTATTTATGTCTTTTATTGGTAGTTATAATTAAAGGGATATGATAATTTTATTATATCCTAGTTATTACCTATGACTTTGTCCATATGGCATACCTAGTTTTTGTTAAAATAAATAAAATATCTCAAATAAAAGCAACTTGTTACTCCTTTACACAACTCATTATATATGACAGTGAAAGTATCCCTCAAATTTGGTCCAGCTGTTTTAAAGATTAGCAAGAATAAACAAATGGACAGACAAATATATATTTTTTTTAATGTTATTTATCTTACCTTATATATGTATGAATTTAATGAAAAGCTGTTGTATGGTGAACTTCAAAATTACAAACAGATACTTCAATTTGTTTGCATAGATACATGTATTTCAGATTTTACTGAGATTCCTATTAAATGAAATAAATTAAAATTCAGATGGTTACCTTATAACTCTTAAACTTGACAATCCTTTACAGTCTTTAAAATCCCCTTTTCCTAAGGAGTTTAATTGTTGAGCGACGTCCTCACACAAGCGATTGGTATGGTATTCTTGGGCGGACTTATTAAAGCCACTTGCCATTTCCCTATGGGATTTTAAAAATCCCATATAATTTTAAATTACCGGTACGACGATACACGACGTTGGCGAGAGGTTTCAGTCCGTGATCTACAATTTAGTTAGATAAATATACAAATATAAACAGTTAAATATTTGCATCATTTTAAAAAAACATTACTAAGAAAATGTTAGGAATACTTACGTTACATTAGGTATATTTTTCACAATAATTGAATTATTAAATTTAACTTGCGTATAAAGTCATGGAAAGGCTAAGTTTCAAATTGTACATTAAAATCAGAATTAAGTACTTTGCGCGGAATTTTAAGTAGATGCACAAAGTTCGTTTGGATATTACAATGAAAATATTTTTACAAATAAATCCGAATTATTAAAAAAGACAATAAAACTGTCTGGAATATTTTTGTATATTACACAAATTCTACCATTGTATCTTAATTACTGTTTTCTATATTTAATTTACATTTATTTAATTAATATTTTGTCCAAAAAGTGACACACAAAAACTCAACTTAACATTGCAACGAATGTATGCGTATCCGAACGCAGCGCGAGAAAATCCACTAACCAGCCAGAGACAAACTATCCAGGCAGAATACGGTTTGAATTTGGACCCTCATAATACGAAAAAGAACAATTCAGTTTAAGGCCGTAAACTGAACTGCCTGGAAACTGACTGGATTTTAAAGAGTTCATAATACGCCCCCAGTTAGCCCATAGTGACGAATTCACCAGGAATTAATCACGTTGGCTTCAAGAAAGGTCGTGACATATACGAAATAAAATTTGTGCATACTTGTCTTGCCTCTTTGTCGACCTCGGTGGTCCAGCAATTTAGCATGCCTCTTTACTTGCGATAGTCGCCGGTTCGATTTCTCGCACGGTTCAAAGAGTTGTATTCACGAGTATAATTTTTTGTATAGGTCTGTATTTTATATATATTATTATTAATAATAATAATAATCTTAGGACAATTCACACAACGCCATCTAGAACCATAGCTAAAGCTTATGTTATGGGTACTAGACAACTGATATAAATACATGGATGCATTTTTTTTGTATAAATACATATTATACATAGAAAACACCCAGATCGATACAAACAATCATACTCATCAATACAAATGTTTGTACCGTACGAGGAATCGAACCCACGACTATCGGATAGTAAAGCAGTATGCTAAACCACTAGACCACCGAGGCTGTCAAATATCAAATATTACATAATATTATATATATTTACAAAATGTATGTAAGTATTTAATATCCGTTTTCTGGTACCCATAACACAAGCTCTGCTTAGCCATATACCAAAATCAGGTATAAAACCTTTAAAATAAAAATACTAATTAAAAATAACAATACATACTTGTTTTCTAAATTGTGCTTCCCTCTCCCTCTGCTCTTTCGCCAGCCGTTGCCTCGTCTCCATTTGGTTTGTTAACGCTTCTTTGGTATCAGTTGTCACTCTTGTCAACTTCTCTTTGGCGGCGATATCGTCTTGCACATTCTTCTCCAGATATTCCTGCTCTTGGAGAAGCTTAATGATGTTCTCCCGTTCTTGACGAGTCGCCTGTAATTACGAAAAAGGCGTATAAATATGACTTGCGAGACGTTTATGTTGTAACTGGCTAATCAGATATGTATTTTATATTCTAAATTTGTATTTGTATTTATAGTTCTTTTATATTACATTCTTGTTTTTGATACTTCAATTCCTTCTTTTCTATTCTGTTATGTCAGTAGTCTAAATTAATATATATATTTTTCTCCTTTTACCTAGTCTTTTTTCTTGTTACTACATGAATAAACTACAAGTTTATGGAGGCCCTTTAGATGTATCCCCAGTTCAATTCAAACGAGGATCGAAATTACAACGGCCTAAGCCGAGGTTCGAACCCCTAGCAGTGCCCTCAGGATAAAGTAATATCCGTAAGGCGGGAGTTGGCCTTCAGGCGCTCCATAAATTCTTCCTTTGGTTTGGAGTGCTACCTGCACTCGCCCCCTATCGTCCGGTGAAGCTGTAAAGGCCAGCTGCGGCCAACAGCATAAGAGTAGTTAAAAAAAGGTTATTGGAGGAAAAGATATTGGATGAGAGGTTCAATGCAATGTTTTGATGTAACAGAAATAGTGCTCATTGATGAAATATTGGGGTTTTCCTATTTAAAATTTAAATAATATCAACCACAAAGAAACGTATTTATTTATTTTGAAGGCCTATCTGGGAATGTATGAAGAGTATCAGACAACATGTGTAGTATCTTATGTATAAAATTCTCGTGTCACAATGTTAGCTACCATACTCCTCCGAAAAGGCTTGACCGATTTTTATGAAATTTTATATGCATACTCAGTAGGTATGAGAATCGGCTATCTATTTTTCATAGCATTATAAATAACTTCATGAAGGAGGACCTCTGGCCGAAGGGGGTGGTGTAACGCCGCTAACGTGGTAAATTGCCGTCGGCAGTGCCGTGACCAAACAGACAATTTTATATTAGTATTATAATATTAATTCATACATATGTTACTTTATATAGTTATATATATAAAGTATTTATAACATGGGCCTTAGTAGCCTGAAATAAGTCACTATATAGTATAAAACAAAGTCGCGGTCGCTGTCTGTCTCTATGTATGCTTAAATCTTTAAAACTACGCAACGGATTTTGAAGCGGTTTTTTTAATAGATAGAGTGATTCAAGAGGAAGTTTTATATGTATAATACATGTACCCGTGCGAAGCTGGGGTGGGTAGCAAGTAAATAACTAAAAAAAAATTATAGTGACATGAGTGGTGAAAGAAAATTAAAAAAAAATTACCTCGTCAGACAATATTTTATCGCCAATCCGAGCATTAAATTCTTCTCTCTTTCGCAGTTTTTCCTGCCTTGCTGCTATACTGCAAGAAAATTATTTTATTTACATTACCTTCATTCCCGAAAAAATCTATATTTGTATTATAGAATGGATTTATTATCTGTACATATTATGTAGCTGTTGTTTAATACCGGTGTTACTGGAGCGGGAACACAACTACTATTTTAATAAAAACCAAATACTAGTAAAAATGTGTATTCTTCCCAAAATGGCTCACAGCGAGAAGTAACAAAACAATATAGATAGTCAAAAGTGACGTAATATAAAAAATAGATATAAAAAAAATAAAGTTTATAAAAAGAATGGTAGACAAGCTGCCAGTAACAACCGGTACTACATTTTTTTTTTTTTTTAAATTGCTTTTTATTAATTGGAATAGCAAACAAGCTGACAGCCCGCCTGATGGTAAATGGTAACCGTTGCTTATGTACATCTACAGTACAATGGATATCAAGTTATCATGTGACACTCGTCATACCAGTCATGCGTTGCCATTCCAGGGGACGCTGTTATGCCTCTTATCCTGTAATTTACTGCCTCATCTGCATCATAGAACCGACTGACAGCTTACAAAGCAAACTTCTTGGCGGCTAAAATAGGTGACCCACGCAGACAACTTTTTACAGTCTAACTCTGGTTCTTCTTCTTCTTTCATTTCAATGGCAACTGAATGTCACTTTTCACACATTCGGTCACTTTTTAGGATCTTCCTTTGTGCAGGATGTTTTATAATATTAATAAGATTATTATTATGAAAGTCTAAGATGAGGCCTATATAGGAAGACAAGTTGTGGATGAGGTCTAAGAAGGAGTAAAAAATCAGTCTTATTTGATGATGGTCATATTAATGTACTCACACAGTCAGACTCCTGTCGGCTGCTGCTTTCTTCTGCTCTTCAATCCGCCGTTCTTCCACGATCACCATGTGCTTCTGCTTCTGTCTCCACGCCTCGCGGGCCTTTTGAAACGTCAGCATTTCGTTGCGAATCTTCTCCGTTTGCTCGCGTTTGTGTTGCAGTTCTCTGATGAAATGAAGTTAACTTATGTATTATACTTAGAATAGTGGTCTACTGACTCAATTTACATCGAAAAGGCCGTGATATCAAATCTGTGGGTCAGCCACAGAAAAAATGTGTTCATATATATTCCAGTGATGGAATACTCTAAAAAAACCAAATTCATCATCATGATATCAGCCTAAAAACGTCCACCTGAACAAAGACCTCCCCTAAAGATCTCCACGACGATCGGTCCTGCGCTGCTCGCATCCAACGCCTTCCAGCGATCTTAACCAGATCGTGGGTCCACGTTGCTGGAGGCCTTCCCACGCTGCGTCTTCCGTTCCGTGGTCGCCACTCGACGACTTTTTTGCCCCAACGACACCTCCGACACTAAGACGGTGAGCTAACCCGCTAGACCACCGAGGCCGCTATTAATTTACAAATTTAAAGAAATACCTCTGGTCTTCATCCGCTAAAGTTCGAATGACGTCATCCAGCATCTTCTTTTCAATTAACGTGTCCTCGTACTGGCACTGCTTCACTCGCTGCCTGTTGACTAACTGCTGCTGCAGTTCTTTGCAGTACTGTGTGTTACGCTCCATCTTCTCTTTCTCTTCTTGTTGTTTTGCTTCTGTATCATTGTATAGAGCGTTTCGTAGTACGCTTTGAGCATGTCGTTCTTGAACCTGAAGAACGAAATTAAAATAGAACACATCATAATTTGAGATAGTATAGTGTCTTTATTGCAGTTTAAAAAAACTATCACTCAAATGAAGCTGATGATGACAACGTATAGTAAATACATCATTTTGTATTTACTATATGTTAGTTTGTGTTCAATTTGGATCAGTATAGCTATCGCAATAGTGATCCAAATTGATTAAAAAGTATTTTGAAAAATATTATACTTCTCATAACACGACACTTATGTTATGAGAAGTATGATAAGTTTGTCTGTCTGTTTTCTGCACAAGATTATGTCTGAATTGTGACTTATCCATATCCTGTAGGGCGCTACTTACTAAAGGAAGGATATAGCACATTAATGATTTTAAAAATTCAATGCCGACTTAGTCTGCAGTATAATTTAGGCTAAAAAATTAGTTGAATTTTAATATTAACTTACCAAATACTATCCTGGTAGGCAAGAATACATAATAATATTAGAATTTATAGATTTAATATAAGCAATATATGTTGATAAAATCAACATACTCTGTTACAATGTTAAGCAATGTTAGTAATAATGTTATTAAGCTAAATGATATCACTGCATCCTCATCTTATTAACTTTAATTGGTGCTCCATCACCATGAACCGTTAGCACAACGGTGCATCATTTCATATTCATTAATTACTAAAGTGACTAATGAAGATTAGTCCCTTTAGTTTAACGGGATCTATTACTAGCTATAATACATAGTTAGCATAAGACCAATGCTGGTATATGGGGCCTTGGTTTGGTGGACAAGGTCGAAACTTACGACCACAGTCAACAAACTAAGATCTTTCCAAAGACTTGCGTGCTCCTCAGTTACTGGATGTATGAAAACAACCCCAACAATGGCAATGGAAATAGCCCTTAACATAACACCCCTTGACCTATTACAGCAAGAAGCAGCTATAGCTGCCACAATATTATACCATCTTGGTCTATGGGGCAAAAACCATTACAGTTTTCACACAACCATCCTGAACCAAGCAATCATATGAACCTTTGATTGCCGCTCCGTGTGACAGAACTCAAGCATACCACTCGTTCAACAGGAAATACCAAATACAATTGAAGGAGGAGGAAAGGGACCAATCTGCAGTAAATGAACTACGCATATACACAGATGGCTCCAAAACACAGAACGGTTCAGGAGCTGTCAACATGAACATATCATACCGCTCGGCAAACACAGTTCGATCTTTCAGTGCGAATGTGTTGCCCTGACCGAGGCAGCAAAAGCCGTGTACAGGTTAGGGGTCAACAATTTTGCAGCCGTGCTTAAAGCACTACAGAACAGAAAATCCAACAACAAACTAATAATCGAGTGCCACATGTACACGCACACGGAGTAATTATCCAGTGGTGACACATCACAATGACGCCGCGGACGAACTTAGGATGTATATGCTTATTACTTTGTTTATGTTATTATTATATGTAGAAAATATTTAATTTTCTACAGACAGCCCCCTTTGTTGCTTTTGAAGAAACGGCGGCTCACGTAATCCTTCTTCGGCAGTGGCCCAACAACGAAAACAAATCCTCGGAACGGTGAGGTCTCTCCGTGAAGCCTGCGAAGACACCAGGAGTCTTCTCGCTTTTGGGAGGAGCTTGGCTGGCTATTACTTTAATACTCCATTTCTTCCTAAAAACTATATTTTCCATAATTATATTCATGAGCATAATAAAGTATTTTCGTCTCGTAAGAGGCTAAACAAACAAATTATACCCGCTCAAGCAGGTGTACCATTTGCTAATCAATTAAAATATTCTTTATTACTTATGCTTAATATACCTTATCCTGAAGTCGCCTATACTCATTATTCAATATTTGCTGCTTCAAGTCCCTGCAGACATACCCAGCCTGTAGTTTTCTAACTAGATCTCTGAGACTGGGATCTCTCTCTCGGAGATAGTGCCTGCGTAGAAGTTCACATGTCTCCTCTTGTTGTACTTTAGCTATCTCAATACCGAGGGCTGTTTCTTTCTGTGCTCGTGCATTAACTATTGCTGCATGATCTGTTCTCTGAATTTGTTTAATAATAAACAGATGAATTAATTGATATTCTTGAAAGAAATTATTAAAAAGTTTTTTTTTTGTTTTAAATTAATGTTTCAAGTCACATTATAGATATTCCAGTGACACAGCTTGTAGAAATTTTTTAATTGGCTGAGTTTTAGTTATAAAAAATAAACTATTTTAACTAAAAGCAATGTGCATTCCTCTTTGATTTATTGGGTGGTTTATGAGATAAAAAAATCCACTATTCTTACATAATTACCACTAATAAAATTTCTTGACATATTTGAGGTTTTTTTTGGTATTACAAAGCGTGGAAAACTATTAAAGTACTTACCACCAATAAAAGAACCAAACTCTATCCTACCAAAAACATTATTAAATTATAAAATAGTATAAGAGTCTTAGACTGCAACTGTAATCAAAATACATATTAGAACTAATAGCAAAAAAGGTAAATACAAGTGCTAACCTCTTGGAATTCCTTCTCCATCTCAGCCTCTTTCTGTATGAGCGCAAGACATCGACCCATTCTGCCATCTTCCATGCGATTGTTCAACCATTGAATATCCAAAGCCCTTTCGTATACCTCCAATTCCTTACGTCGAGATTCAGTAATCGCATTACGCTGCAGTTCATTTTTTGGTTCCTAGACATGATATAAAAATATTTTAGAGTTCTATAAAATGAACGGACTAATTTCCATTTTAGTAATCAAATATAACTACCATATTTAACTATAAAAATGTAGTGTAAAGTTATGATAAAAGAAAATGTTAATAATAATTTATTATAATATGGGTTTTGTTTATTTACAATACTAACAATATCTTGTTTTGTAAACAGAACGAAAACAAAATTTGGACGTCAGTTGTTGTCAGTCCAATACAATCAAATGTCATGCAAGCCGTAAAAAGCCAGAGTTGCCAATTTATTACGATAATAAAATATCGTATTTTGACCATCTAGGAAACTTCTTTTTTCTCTAGAAACAACAAAATCTAGACCTCCCTTATGTTATCTGTTTTAATTGTTTATTAGCAGAACAAGCTGGAAATTAGCAACATATTGAAATAAGGGTTCAATGTTGTATTAGTCTAGGATTAAATTCAACATAAACTAATGTGACACAAATAAAAAAATATTGTCAAATTGAACGTAGACCTTTACAGATACCCACACTGACTGCTAAACAGCTTATTAACTACAAATTTTAATCAGTATTAAAGTCATAAATCTATTTTAAAACTAATTAAACTTTTTTCAGACATCTGGCGATAACTCACTATAACTAAACCACAGATTGTATTTTAATCGTAGGTTAAAGCCACCTATTGGAGATATTAAAAACTACGCAGAATTGCGCATTCTATCCGCCCGGTTGTAGGGCGCTAGTTGTAGAGTTTTCTTTCACTCGCCGCAATACGGCACGCTGACAACACGTATTTGGATTTTAACTTGTGACAGCGAACAGCTGCAACCAAATTCGGTTGCAAATTGATAGTGCATAGAAATAAAGACGGTCGGTTATGAAAAAGTGATAGATATGGCTGAAAGTAAAGGTGCGTTAATTGCGAAAACAGTGCAAAAACATGCGGGACGAGCGAAGGAAAAGGTATTTATCGTTTATGTTCACCTTACGTGTTGGATTGATGTTGTCTTTCGAGAGGTGATGGTCAGAGCTGAGCCAGCCAGTGCCGTGAAAGTTAGTATCGAAGGGATCTGTGTCGCGCCGGATCGGGTTTCGCGGCTGTCTTTAGCCGGTTTCTGTGTGAACTCGGTTTCACCTGTTGCTCGCAGCTCCCTAGGTCATATTTACTACCTGTAGTAATCTAAGTAATTTGTTTACAACTAATCAGTGCTTGTAATTAGTTCACGAAAGTTACGACACGCGACACGCAACTTATCATTTCCAGGGTAATACTGACAACTATTTTTAGTACTCTGTGCCAGATGGGATAATTTTGGACTAAACCAATTAAATTAATTTTTAGAATTGATTAATTTATTAAACCCCATAACCATTTGTCTTTACAAAGTTAGTTTAAAATTTATATAAGAGAGTGTTAATATATGAGACATGTCTAGGGAAGTGGTCAGATTTAAAAATAACATGTGTGGCAGCAACAGTTTTGAACGGAGACATCTGAACGTCTGTGCTAGTTTCACAGAAATAATGTGGTTATTTCGACTCATCTATTTTTATGTCTACTTTGTCTATTGCCACTTATTTTTATCTATTATATATGATTTGGCAGGCTTATATTAATTGAGGTGTGAATGAATCTTTTATATATTTTTTTCCTTTCTCACCATCCAACATCAGCCTTATAACTATTATTAGATTTAGTAATAGGGGTTACAATTAGTAATAGTCCATCAATGTGAAATGCCTTTGATTTCAAATGTACCTCAAATTATAACTTATAAAGTTAGTTATCTTTTTCAAGACTATCTTCGAAACAATAAAAGCAGATCTCTGTAATCATAGTCTCAATACATAATGCTATTTTTTATCATTAAGATAAAATGATATAATATATATATATTAACCACTTCTGTATTTCTGTTCAGTAGATAATGTAGCCACTTTTGAAATAAGAATAGGGGAAAAATGTATTGATTACATATGTGAAGATAATTATTTTCAACTGAATTATTAAAGAAGATGCACAGGTATCATAATTATACAGGTATAATTCAGTTAATGTTTTTTTAATGTTAGTACACTTGTTACAAGTAATGTTAGAAATTTGTTCAATATACATATATGAATAGAGATGGTATTGAATATATATATTTTTATTATAGTTGCTGAGTTATACTTAGTTAATTTATAACACCAAATTTTAAATGGTGGTGTTCCCCTATACAAACATGATATTTCTAATTTTAGTAGAATTTTCAGGAAATCTATTCTTAACAGCCTATTACAATTTATGAACATACTGACAATCTCAATATTTGTTTTACAATATCTTATATGGTTTTAGTGGACATGCCCTGATAACTTATGGTTTATCACCTACTGTAATGACTCTTACATAATTATAAGGTTATATAGTCTAACTTACATTATAACATTAGCTATCTGCGAGTGAAAGTCCCATCAAAATCAGTCCAACAATTCCAGAGATTAGTAAGTAACATACAGACAGACAAATTTTCTAAAATTATTTTTTTAACTTTTGAAAATACTTTCTTATTTATTGAAGAGGTACATTTATTGAAAAGCTGTTAATTTTCTAACTATATATAGAAGCCTAAATTTTATTAATTTGTATTGATAACGATTTAAAAACTATCACTGTACTCTAAGAATTACAGGTAAAAAACATTATAATAAAAAAATAAAACAAAAAGCATCTATAATATTTATAATGTGATAAATATTATATATGATAGCGTAATAAGGGCATAAAACCGTCTACTGGAATAATTTAAAGCAGACAATTTTATCAATTTCCTAAAAATTTCATTAGAAGACGTTTATTACGTTTATTTACATTTCATAAGCGTTGCAAATAATTAATATAATTGCAGGCATAAAATCATAATTATATTACTAATAACTTCATTGCAAGGTCTAGAATTTTCCTTCACTAAAACATCGTTTTTTTTATTGATGTTGATGGAATGGATGCACCCCTATGTAATAAGATATCAGAGTGCAATATTTTTTACGAAGCCGGTCGTTTTATGTACCATTGGAATCAACAATAAAGCAACAAAAAATAATATATATTACGAAATAATTAACGAGTAATGGTTATTTAACCACATTTACTCGTTAATTATTTCGTAATATATATAATTTTTTTTCGTACCGCATATTTATATCGTAATAAATATGCGGTAGAAGTGGTAGCGAGAGGTATACCAGCGAAATCTCTATACAATCTTCTAAAAGATCTTGTCCTGTCTAGAACTGCTGTAAATCCTAGACATGTATCTAATATGTAATATTAATCTAATTGTTATAATGTAGATATTAATATATGTAATTATTAGGTTTATTCATAAAATTTTCATGTCTACTGAAAAAAGGCATATTACAGCGCAGCCTACTACTGTCACTGGGGCTTTATTGTTATGTGCATATCTATCTGTAATGCGAATAAATGTCTTACTTACTTACTTACTAAACCAGCCTAGCGAGCTCCGCTATGCTAAGAAATTTGTAACGTCTCTTATTTATAATCAAAATAAGAAGTTTTTACTTGACGGCGAAAATAGGTGATTCCCAAAACGGTTTTTCATAAGTATATGTAATTTTTTTTTATATATATCATGCGATGACTTAGCCAAAACTGACAGCTTTTAATGATTCTTTATGCTGTCTTTATTATTTTATTAATCATTTGAAAATTTAATAATATTGATGATAATAATAATAATGTCCCTGAACAATTTACAAGCGCCATCTCGTTTTAAAATAAGCAGTGCTTGTGTTATGGGTACTAGATAACTGATATAAATACATGATATAGTAATTGATGGTTTATTACTTTATGGTTTAGGTGTACATGTGTAGTTTAACGATGGTTGGATTTTTGTATTAATAAAAATAAACACTACTATTAGTTTATCAGCCCTGCAAACTACAAATCTAGGTTTATTGGACAGAAACATTGTCACAAAAATGTTATCGGCACACATGCCATTACTATCAGCAGTCTATTGTATGTTCCACATATATTTGAAACATGGATGTTTGTTCTACATCCCAATAGTTATTTTTATCATATAAAGAATATATTGAAAGTTGATAGGATGTCGAGTAATAATAATAATTCACACAGTAACATCTAGTCCCAAGCTAACAAAGCTTCTGTTATGGCTACTACACAACTGATACAAATACATAGATAAAAAATTTTTCTCCCGTGAGATGAATTTCATAACAGTTAAAATCATATTATTTGTAAAATACATATTTTTATCGTATGTTCATACGATGTTTTTAGAAAATAGAACAATACGTACAATTGTCTAAATGACTTCAGTAATACCATCAAATCTATAATTATTATTTGCTACTGATTTCTTTAAGCATGCTCTCGCCTGCAATATATGTTTGCACTGGCGAGGCACCAGAGGAGGATGATAAGGTGAGTATGCGATCAGGTCAGTTAGCACATCGTGACATATTCACTGATGGTTTCCGAGAGGAACCGCGTGGAGGTCAACCTGATACGGTACATTGCAATGAGGTTATTAATCCACATTACTAACAGTCACATTCCCCCGCGCTATTCAGTTAGTAATATTTTCTTCAGTTCCGCCATTATCACTATTGGTATGCGTGAATTCGATTCTTTGGCAGGACGACCTACCTTAAACACAAAAAGCATCATCAATGTCAACAAGTATATCTCCACAGATAGTAGCTAATCCTCCAGTACTCACACTAGTGACAACTGAAGTGACGTACAGACAAACATATTTATCTTCACGTGCCAATGACTTACATTTTCATTCACTTTCATATCTCCTCTCATTTGTGCACTGCAAATATTGAGATGTAAAAGTTAGTAGATTGCGCAGTTATGGGGCAAGTCCTTGAAGTGATGTCTAGTATTTATACAGCTTACTACAATAAACACTTCATGCAAAAAATAAAAAAATAACATTGAATTGAAACATTTACTCAGGCAATGAGTAATTTTATTTTATACTGAAGAATAAAATTACCCGCGACTTCGTCCGCGTGGAATTTTATTTTATTTTTCTAAAATAACAGTTGCCTAAGTTACTCCTTATTACATCAGCTACCTGTCAAAAAAAGTCCCGTCAAAATTGGTCCATACAATTATAAAGTAGAAGTTCATACAATTCAATCAACAGTCTAAAAATAAGTTTCAGGCATCTAGCTTTGAAAATGACAACACTTCCATACAACCTTCCATGTCTGCTTTCAAACCCTTGCAAGGGTTGCAGGTTTCTTTATTTATATTTAATCAACAGCCAAAAAAATAAGTTTCAGACCTTTGAAAATGACGATGCATCCATACAACCATACACTTTTTCAATCCCCTTACAACCCTTTTTGTCATTAAAAAGTAACCTACATCCTTTCTCAGGGTCAAGACAATCTGTGTACCAAATTTAATTTCAATTAGTTCAGTAGTTTTGACGTGAAAGCGACACATGCAGAGTTAATTTCGCATTTAGAATATTGGTAAGGATCAGTTTCTAATGAGTCTTGGAAACGGTTAAGCTTAAGTTTCCTTTCAAAATATTTAATATTTCACAAAATACACCACTCACCACCACTACAACGTTTTTTTCTTTGCCACGTTTGTACAGTCGTACCGTATCATATACAATATATATTGTATGTGTAATGTGTAATGATATATTATTTTCTATGTTAACACCAAACCATCTTACTCATAGTTATTAGACTATAACCATATAATTGCCTATCACTTGCGGTAACAAATGATTTGCGTTTCTTATTTTAACTGTTACTAAAGTTTAGACACCTTGACTTACTTGTAACGGGGGCACCATGCAAAGGTTGATATGGGAAATAAAAAATTGAGAACACCATACAGAATCGTAATTATTTTATTGTACAAAAACCGATGTTCTGCTAAGCAGAGTATAAAG